CACCCTAGCAGGAGTGAGGTCGCAGTGCAGACTCGGGCCTCCCGGCACCGTGAGGAAGGAGGAAACGGAGGGACAGGAGATGAAAAGCAGGGCTCTAAACCACCTCCCATGTGGGCTCAGCATCTGGCATTCAGGATCGCAAGCTGCTGACCAGTGAGCCTGGCTCGGAGTCCCGGTGGTGACGGCGACGTCGGGCCCTTTCACACCAGCAGGGGCTCCCAGTACATAGAGATCCTCACTGCAGGTGGCTCTTCAAAGCGTCTTTGACTCACTGGGCTTGAAGACACAGGGCATCTCCGCACCTTGTGCAGGAATTGTTGCTGTTAGAATGAAGCAAAGGTTCTCAAAGTGTGTTCCGGGGACCAGCGGGTCGGCACCTCCGGGGAGCTTGTTGGAAAGGCCGATTCTCAGAGCCGGAGCCCGGGGTGGCTCTGTGCACTCGGAGGCAGGAGGCGGGGTGCCCTCCCTTTGAGCTGGCCTTCAGCTGTGGCCACTGGGAATCCTCCAAGATGCGTGGAGTTGAAGGCACTGGTTGAGGGAATAGTAAGTCCGGGGCCATGAGCTGGGTCTTCTCCCTTCATCGCTACAAGCCTGTGTATTTGACCCTGAGTAGTGGTGTTGTCCCCATAGTAGAGATGAGAAAACTGAGGCTCGGGAAAGCGAAACCTGCTGTCAGTGTCACGGGGCTGCAAAGGGGCAGAGGCGGGTTCTACCCCAGCTCCCCGACCCCGAGCCCAGCACTCACTCCTCCCCCGTGGATGATGCACTGAATCGCTATCCATTATCTTGCTTTGGAGTCCTCACTGGTTCCTAGGGGTTGGTGGCCCTCAGCCCAATTGATCTCCAAATCACTGGAAGCCCTGCCACCTGCCATGCCCCCCCTACCCACCCAGCGAGTCAGACCACTGCTGCCCAACCACTGAGCCCAGGTGCAGCAGGGAAATGGGGCCTCTGTTTAAATCAGCACCCCTCGTTTGGGTGCACCCCCTAGAGACAGGCTGCTGTGACCAACAGATGACATCCTACTAGGCGTCCCTCACCTGGTGACCGGCCCTCTCGCTGGGCACAGCGGGAGATTTCTGCAGTGACTGGGGGTACAGGCTGTCGGGGGCTCCCCTCCACGCTCCATCGGCTGACCAGGCCCCCCCAGGGATCATTCAGCCATGAGCTGGGCGTGGAGGCTTGGCCGTCCCTCTCCGGGAGGAACTCGGGCCTCAGCTACCCAGGGCCGCACGGGTCCAGTGGCCTCCAGACAAGGACTCCTGTCCTTTTTGCAGGCAGGTGCTCCCTGCACCAGAGGAGCAGGTGACCCCCAGGCAGAGAGCCCTGTGGACACGGGGGGGCAGCCTGTGGTGGCATTTATTTATTTATTTATTTATTTATTTTTAATATATTTTATTGATTTTTTACAGAGAGGCAGGGAGAGGAATAGAGAGCTAGAAACATCAATGAGAGAGAAACATCGATCAGCTGCCTCCTGCACACCCCCCACTGGGGATGTGCCCACAACCAAGGCATATGCCCTCGACTGGAATCAAACCTGGGACCCTTCAGTCCGCAGGCTGATGCTCTATCCACTGAGCCAAACCAGTCAGGGCCCTATGGTGGCTTTTACACTTACCACCCTTATTAGCAGAACCCATTTGAGAAGAAGCTGAGAATGGTCCCCTTGGCGACAAGTGCGGTCAGCGCACCAGGCCACATAGGTCGCCTCGGCCTGTCCGAGGGGAACTATGACACATGGCACGTCCCAGTATCGAGCGGAAAGTCCTGAGACGAGACAACTGATTCTTTTATTTTTAATTGGCAGCCTCTGTGCTACCAGGGAGAGCCAGTGCCAGGGCTGACCAGCAGCCCCTGAGTGACGGATGAACAATTACTTGGACACATGTTTCTGTGAAAGAGAGGGCTAAGGGACTGCCTGGCTATAGGAACCAGACAGCCTCATTCGCCTGCCTCTTCAGGCTCTTTTTTTTTTTTTAAATATATTTTATTGATTTTTTACAGAGAGGAAGGGAGAGGAATAATGAGTAAGAAACATCGATGAGAGAGAAACATCGATCAGCTGCCTTCTGCACACCTCCTACTGGAGATGTGCCCGCAACCAAGGTACATGCCCTTGACGGGAATCAAACCTGGGACCCCTCAGTCCGCGGGCCAACGCTGTATCCACCGAGCCAAACCGGTTAGGGCTCTTCAGGCTCTTATTGTAGCAGCAGTTTGGGATAAAGTTTATCTTTTAGATACAATCAGTTGGGTCATAATCTTGGGAGGACGCATGTGTCTGCAGTGTCCTTTAAGTAAGCACGTCTAAAGATTAAGCATAAAGGTTCCGGTAAACACCCGAGGGTCCGCATGTACACAGGCTTGTTTGGAAAATTAGGGGCGCCACCTTCAGTCCACTCCCGTAGGTCAGAAATTCCTCCTTACAGACATTCCAACCAAGTCTCTGTGCTCCCCTACAAGCCAGCGTGTCACGGGGCCATGGTCCCCGAGGGGAGCCAGCGGCTGCAGGGTTCGTCCCCGCCCAAGGGCCCCTGGCTGGGTGCCCTGCGGAAGCAGCCTGACCCCTCCGTCCCTCCTTGTTATAAAGAGATGGGTGTTGGTGACACTTCCGATGACAGCGTCCCAGATGGGGCACGACCGGGCTGGAGGTGACCCCACCCTCGGCACCCCGCCCCCCTCGGTGACGCACAGCTCAGGCAAGCACTTTGCCCTGTATCCCCAGCTCCTGACCAAGGACCCCGAGAGCCGCCTGTCCAGCCTCGGCGACCTGCAGAGCACCCCCTACCTGGCTGACATGAACTGGGACGCGGTGTTCGAGAAGGCGCTGACCCCCAGCTTTGTGCCCAATGTGAGTGAGGGTCCCGTCTGATGGCGCGCCACCCCCCGCAGGGTCCCACCCCTCCTCCAAGACTCAGCATACGCGCAGCGGCTGGCCCATGGGAGGGTCAGCACTGGTTCTGCTCTGGGGGCAGCCCCCGCCTCCTTTCTGGACTGCAGCCTCTCTGCCCCCACTGGAGAGGCGCCGGGTCTCCGTCAGTGGTTAATAAGGTCCCGTTTCGGTGTCTGCCATCCTCCTGAGCCTTCAGGGAGTGCGGACCATGTGGGTGGGCCGGCCTCGGCCTGAGGGAGCCCCCAGGATGGGTGGCCTTCGAAGGCACCAGGAGGCCACCGTGTGTCTTATCACATGAGAGTGGCTGCGTGAGAGACAGGAGCCAGCAGGAGGCAGTGTGTGCCTGGTGTGCGCATCCAGCATCTCAGACAAGCCTCGCCACAGGGCAGCGCGTCTGTCCGTGTTCTCAGGTCAGGAAACTTGCTCCGCTCACTCAGTGAGAGATGGACAGAACCAGGCTTGACCCCAGGCAGTCTGGATCCAGAGCCTGCATGGGAGTGAATGAATGAATGAATGAATGAATGAATGGCAGATAAATGGGGCCAGGAAAGACTTGGGCCTGAAATCCGACCGCTCATTGGGAGAGATGGTACCTCTGAAGCCGTGGGTGTTATAACCACTAGGCTGTACTGCCTGAGGGGACGGGCACCCTGGGCTGGGTCTCAGGACAGAAAAGGCCACCTGAGGTTTCGGATCCAAGGTCTGGAAGGCAGGGAGACCCGCATTCCTCCTGCCACAGTGGGCAGGGGCCCAGCCTCCAGGAGGTCGGGCCTGGGTCGCTGGCTCCAGCTGCAGAGGAAAGGGAACGAGGACTGGAAACTGGGAAGAATATGTGAGAAATGGCATTTTGCATGGAAAGGAAAGAGTAAAAATGATATTTATAGAAGAGGGAGTGGTGGCATGATGACGTTTGATAAAATACGTGGAAATGTCCGATCAGAAAACTAAACAGCCTCATGAGTGACCATCCATCCATAGGAAGGAGACTGGGGAGCGTGTGGACGTTTTGGGGGGGCTGCCCGGGGTGTGGGGCGGGGTCAGGGGGATAATCGAAGGACATGTGCGATGGGAACGTGTTGCTTTTCATCATCAGAAAAAATATACAGCAGATGTGTCCCACAGGAGCAGGTCATCGATACTTGTTGAATGAAAGATTGAATGAATGAGTGAGTGAAAGTAAAGTTCGGCGGTGGGTGGAACAAAGACAAACCATGTTTTCCTTTCAGAAAGGGAGATTGAATTGTGATCCCACGTTTGAACTTGAAGAAATGATTCTCGAATCCAAGCCGCTTCACAAAAAGAAGAAGCGGTTGGCAAAGAACAGGTCCAAAGACGGCACGAAGGACAGCTGTCCACTGGTGAGTGCCACGGGGGGTAGGGGGGCGCACCCCGGGAGGGCGGGAGTCCTGTGCTCCCAGGGATGCGATGGAGCTAGGCTACCTTTTATTTCTTATTTCTTATTTTAAAATATGTTTTTATTGATTTCAGAGAGAGGGCGAGAGATGTAGAAACATCGTATCTCTTATGATGGGGGAGAATCACTGATCGGCTGCCTCCTGCACGCCCCCTACTGGGGATAGAGCTCACAACCCAGGCATGTGCCCTGACCGGGAATTGAACCGTGACCTCCTGGCTCATGGTTGGATGCTCAATCACAGAGCCACGCCAGCTGGGCGCTAGGCTGCTCTCTAGACAGATGGAGGCATGTCAGTCACCAGCCAAATGCCTTCACTGGCTGTAAATGAGATGCCTCCATCCACAAGGGGTCTTTCATCGCAGGAAACTGCCTGAGCTACACGTGCGCGCTCCCATCATTCACCTTAGCACCGCCCCCCCCCACCCCCGCCCCCGTGCAGGGACCTCGTGAGTCTCCAGGCAGGAGCTCAATGCTGAGCTACCGGGGCGCCCCTAGGTGCTGTCTCCTGAGCACCCTGTGGAAGGTCCCGTGCTGTGGAGACAGCCGGGCCACAGGGTGACATTCTTGGGGCTCTGGGCATGCCACGCGGGCTTTATGAGCTGCTGTATTCGCTTTCTAGGCTGCCATAGTGTCACAGCCTTGGTGGCTTAACATAAGTGGAAGTTATTCTCGCCCAAGTCAGGAGGCCAGATGTTCAGAATCAAGGCGTGGACAGAGCCGGGCTCCCCCAGAGGCTGGAAGGCGGTCCTCTCCGGCCACTCCTGCCCCTGGTGACGGCCAGAGGTCTCCATGCCTTGGCTTGTGGCCACATCCCTTTGTCTCTGCCTCCACATCACGTGGCGTTTCCTCTCCGTGGCTCTGTGTCTTCACGTGGCCTTCTTGGAAGGACACCAGTCCTTGAGCTGAGGGCCCCCTACTCCAGTGTGACCTCATCTTCACGAGGGACAGCTGCACAGCCCCATCTCCACATAAGGTTCCCTTCCCCGGTGGGGGGTCAGGTCGTCAATGTATGTTTTGGAGGGAGGAGCAGAATTCAACCCACAACCAGCCCTTCTGCCAGAAAAGCATCTTAAACATGATGTTTAATGACGGCAATGGTATGAAGTCAGCTTTCAATGCTGGAAGTTCATTTTTTCCTGCTTATTTTTTAAATATATTTTTATTGATTTCAGAGAAGAAGGGAGAGGGAGAGACAGAAACATCAATAATGAGAATCATTGGTCGGCTGCCTCCTGCACACCCGCTCCTGGGGATCGAGCCAACAACCCGGGCATGTGCCCTGACCGGGAATTGAACCGTAACTTCCTGGTTCATAGGTCAAAACTCAGCCACTGAGCCACACGGCCCTCGGTCTTTTCTGCTTATTTTAAAGAAACTGAAACATCTTTGTAGACCCTACCAGTACGGTGGGCCCAGGCCCCACGCCCAGGCCCGAGGCTCTGCCAGGTGTGCAGCAGCAGAGCCTCGGTGAGGCAGGTGGCTCTCAGCACCTGTTCTTGGCGGGAACAAGCACTTGCAGGATGCCTTGCCCTTCTCCCCTCCCCCTCACGCTTTATTAGGCCTGACGGACATTTGAGCCATCAGGAAGCCACGCCCAGGATCTTCTACCCACAATCCCCCCTACCATCGCTTTCAGCTCGGATTTAGTGGCTTCAAACTGAGAAAAACATCTTTGTCTGCCAGGTTGCCTGGCACAGCCACGGTGCCGGCAGGGCTGCTCCCTCCACTTAGCTGGTGCCCAGCCCCGGGCGACGGTCTCTGCTGTCATGGCCCTTTGTCCGTCACTCACAGTCACCTGTCTGTCCCTTTGACAGAACGGACACCTGCAGCAGTGCCTGGAGACCGTGCGGAAGGAATTTATCATATTCAACAGAGAGAAGTAAGTCCCCCCTCTTCTCCAGCTGCCTCCGGGCAGAGCCCTTCGGAACCGCAGGCTCCCGGGTGCCAGCCACGACCTGGGAGGGGACAGCTCGCGACCCGGCCCAGGTGGCTGAGCGAGGTGCTGGCTTCCCTTCTCTGAGCCTCAGCGTCTCTGTGTGAAACGGGGAAGCAGGTGGGAACTGGCCAGGCACGCTGGCACACACAGGCGGGGTCTCAGGTGGTGAGGGGCCCAGGCTCGGGAGTGTAACTGTCTGGGCCCAGTCCTGGTGCTGTGGCTGCCAGAGCGACCTGGGCCGGGTGCTTGCTTCCCGGGCCTCACACCAGCCGTGGACATGAGCTCTCTGCCTTGCCTGTGGCTGAGATCAGACTAAATGAGGCTGTGGATACGGTGCCTGGCATGGTAAAGCCGATTGCTATGGTCATCATTATTTAATGGCGTGGGCTGTGCTGGACCCCAGCATCTCCGGCTGTGGTTCCAGACGTCCTTTCCTGCTCTGCTGGCCAGAGCAGGGGCCAGGAGACTCAGCCCGTGGTGAGGCTTGCTGGCTGGGCCTCGTGTGTGAGTCTGGGTTGACTTTGACCCCCCACCTGCCCTAGAGCTGTGCCACCCAGGATGAGTGA